GCCCATTGTCCCCTCTGTCTATTCAGTAGTCGTAGCTCAAGAATCATTCCACGGACTTTAATAATAATAACAATATTAGAGTGTCTATTCAAGTAAATGACAAACAGCATAATGAACAAAAACAACAAGAACAGATAAATAATAAGCATACTGTTCTGATTATTGGTGATCGCTCCATAGTTGACTTCAATAAAATTCTTGACAGATACAAAGATCTAAACAAATTTAGGATTATCTCGATTGTGAAACATAATGCGCGATTAGAAGACATTACCAAAGATATCCACAATCTGACAAAGGATTTTAACAAATACGATGTAGTGATACTCAGTGGAGGTACGAGGAATGCAGTCACGGATGGAAAGGTTGGTGACGTAGTATTCAATCGTTTGTATGACGTATGCGTGAGAACGAATCTCATAGTTTTATCGGTGCCTCTCTGGAGAAATCGCGTAATATTGAACCAATTTATCGACAAAATAAATATAAGTTTATTTCAATTTGTAAGAGACCAAGGAAATACAAATAGATTTATTAACTTAAACTCTTTCTTAAGCTCATCCTTCTTTGGCCATTCAAGTAATGCTCTCAAATTCTTTGCAAAAATAAAAATATGTGAAAAGATTTCTCAGGCAATAATCCCAATCAACAATTTTTTTATTATAAAGAATCTCAGCGAAAATGTTGGTAAACGAAGTAGTTAAAAAGTTGAAGCCAATTTTTCTATCTTTTTGCTCAACACTCAATCAGCGAGAGAAAAGGCAGATGAGCTTTCTGTTTTGCTGAGTGATCTGAATATGCCATCTTTCGTTCTTCTCACTGAACATTGGCTAAAGGAGGATGAACTGTACTATCTACCCGAGTACAGTATTATCTCAAAGTTCTGTAGAGCCGAAGGCTATGGAGGCACCATTATATTATTGGCACATGATAGTTTTTTAGAAAGATACAATGTAGAAAATATCGATAAACATGGAACATGGAATTATTCTTCAAGAAAATAAACTTGAATTCAGTATAATTTATGTTAAGGAACTTGATGTTTGGATTGTTTGTGTGTATAGGCCTCCATCAGGTAATCCCCTAGAATTTTTAAGGTCATTGGAAGCTCTCCTTTCGCACTAGTGCGAGTTTTTCCGCACTAGTGCGGAAAAGTCAAACTTTCCAAACTAAAATGCGTGCGGAAAAGTGTACTTTTCCGCACGCTCGTAGAAAAAATAATAAGCGAGATGAAGGGAAAATCACAACAGAATTGCAACAATCTGACAATAAATCCGACAGATCTTAATCAATTTTACTGCATTATAGCGAGCAAGCTGACAGATGCCATTGAGCGAAAGAAAGATCCACTAAGTTACCTATCAGAGTTACCTTCTACTGAAACATTCAGGCTTAATCCGACAAATAGGGATGAAATTAAAACGGTTACACCATTAAAAAACAAAACTCCTCAGGAAAAGATGAAATAACATTGAAAATCTTCAAACATCTACCTGATGAAGCGCTCACTGCACTCGCTGACTGTATAAATGAATCGTTTGTCTCGGGAATCTTTCCGGACAATCTTAAACTGGCAGTAGTTGTTCCTATTTTTAAAGGGGGAGACAACGAAGATTCATCTGCGTATTGTCCAATATCTTCACTGACTACGCTATCCAAAATTAAAGAAAAGATAGTGAAAATAAGACTGGTGAGTTACTTAAAAGCCCATAATGTTCTGACCGGGAGTGCAATGATGCCATATTTGCGTTTCTAGAGAGACTCTTTTTTGCTCTCAATGATGGTGAGAAAGCTGCGGCAGTGTTTTGTGACTTCTCAAAAGGTTTTGACTGTGTTAATCACGAAATACTGCTGCGGAAAATGAGCCACTACGGAGTCAGGGGAACGGAGTTGAGCTGGTTTAGAGCATACCTTTCGAATAGATCCCAGCTAATAAGAATTCATGGTAAGGATAATTCAAAGACGCTAAATTTAACCCATGATGTTCCTCAAGGGTCAGTTCTTGGGCCGGTTCTCTGTTTAATTTACATTAACAGCCTGGCAGCACTGTCAATTCTGGGAGCTTTTGTAATTTTTGCAGACGATACAACCATACTATGGCGACACAAAGACGTGACAATTATTGAAAAAGACTTGGAAAAATTTAAGGGAGGGTGTGACGCAAATCGCTTGGTTTTCAACATATCCAAAACAAATATATTTTTATTTCTCTTAATGAAATCACACTTGACCAGAAACTGGTAGAAGATAGAACTGTTGTAAAATTTCTTGGTATGCACATAGATTCGAGACTCAAATTTGACACTCATATTGATACCCTTAATAAAAAAACTCCCACAGGGCTGTTATATAGTATAAGAAAAGCATCCTTCATGAACTGGGAAAGCACACAGCCAAAATAGCGTATCATGCACTTATAGAGTCTCACATCAGATATGGTATAGCATTCTGGGGTTTTTCGACACAGGCAGCTGTTGAATCAGTGTTTATCTGTCAGAAACGAGCTCTGCGTTATTTGTGTAGGGTAAATCGTCGGGAAAGCTGTAGGCCTCTTTTCAAGCAGGAGCAGATAATGACTGTTCCCTATATTTTCATCTTGGAAATGGTCAGTTTAATATTAAAAAATTTCGAGACTATTCTAAACCAGAACTTTACAACTTGAGAAACTACAATTTGCCAATCCCAAACCTAAGCCTCATTTGGTTTCATGGCTTCAATTTGCTCAACCTCCTTAATTTACTATTTCTCGACCTCACAGCAAAACTTCACCTGCTTCCTGTAAAACGGTTTCTTTTTCAGTCTGCCCCACAATATTTTCAGCTGCCATTTCTCAACCATCTTTTTCTACTAGCATTGAATTTTCTTTTTATCTGCTCTATTGCGCAACACTGGCAGATGCAATTAGCACTATCAATATTTGCTTTTAATTTATTATTATTATAGTCCGCTAGTCTGGTGTATGTTTATATTACGGAATAGGTTTAACTATTAATCTATTGTAATGACCCGAATTATTCGTTGACCAATAACAATTATTGTGAAATTTTTAATTTTCTTGTGTGGATAAAAATGATTCTGAGTAATACAAAAATTACGCTATACAGAAAAAGACCACAAAGACAAAGACCTTGTACTAATTAAAGTTGGTTAATTAATAAATTGCTACCAGAAATAAAAACATCAGACTGTTAATTTGCCAATTGGATTTCAGTTATAATATTTCAGCAACAATGATAGTTCTTCAAATAAAAGATCTTTGTTTTGTTTATTTTAAATGTTTGGTTGATAATAACTATAATCGGTACTTTTTTAATGACATTACATGTTTAAATTATCAATTGGCAAAATTATTTATGTATTAAATGAAATGATTATGGTAGCATTTTTGTGAATTATTACGTCCGGAATAAAACTGTTGACCTTTCAGTTCTGATTGAAATGTTTATGGTATGAACTGCAAAACAGCATGTCAGAATTTACTACTCAGCATTTATTTCTGTATGTTTAAATGTCTGAAAAACTTCATTCTGACTGAGGTACCATCTTCACTGAAAGCCTTGACTATAAAGAAAATGTCATTACATTTGGAAAATCAGGGATGGATTACTGTGTTACCAAAACTCATTTTTATTCATCGAGCTTTTTAAGCTTTCAAAACAACATTTTTTTATTAATAAAGAAGCCCCTTTCGTCTAAATAAAACCGTGATGGTACAATTTAAATTTGGTAGTTCCTGCCTGGCTGATTGAATCGCATTCAATTATCATCCATATATGACGGTCATACGTAAACAGTTTTTTTAATTTACATTATGTATTTTATTAATGTTTCTTTTTTTTTTATTGTTCCAATGGTTGTAAGTGACCATTCAGTAATTTGTTTAAAATTGCCCGTGTTGTGTTGATGCTGACTATTGTTCAAAATGGCACTTATTAAGCAGTGGAGCTTTGATTTGTATTACATACTTGTAAGTAGGGATTTTAATTTCATTTACACAATAAAATAATATCGTTAACCTCTTTAAACTTTTATTAGTTACACGAAATACCTATAAATAATGCTCGTTCTGAAAATAAATCAAGAGGTAGTTAAAGTTATATACCGATATATATTGACAATGTAAACTTTATAGTTTTTCTATTTTTAGATAGGTAACTCAACCGTTCGTTTCATTCTTAGGCAACAATAGCCAATAAGCTTTACTTAGCAGTTATTTTTTGGTCGATGAAATCTTGCTGTTGGAAACGAAAAATTAATGTTTTGGCTTTATTTTTCCACCAAAAATATGTAATCTGTTAATCCCGGAGTGGGTGGTTAAAAACAATAAAAGTCCTGTTTATGTTGTTTATTGAAACATAAAATTGCTACTAAACACCACGCCTGATAATTAACATTATTTACATTCTATAAGCAGTAAATGAGTTAATAGACCTTTAAGTTATCTTAATTTATGTATAATCATGACTTTACACTTTAGTTTTAAAGAATTTGAATAAGCATTACCAGAAGATCTAAGGAATAATTTTGCAATTTGCCAATTAGTGACAAAATTGTTCAGGATTCTTTGGACAAAAATGTATGTTGAACATTTAGGGGATCTAATGAATACGTGTTTTTTTTCATTTAGTAAATATGGGATACCAAAAATTTAAATTTCTAATATCTATACCTCGTTGGCTTTCAGTTGATACTTATTAGAATGCAATTCTCGATTTAGTTTTCCCTTCCGGCTGCTGATCCTTTTCGGATAATCAAATTTCATTTGAAGTCGGTTATTTGGCGAGCACTTTTAATTTTATTTGTTTTCTGAATTATAAAGATTTGGTTTCATTTAAAATTCTAGTTTTTGAAGCTCTATTTTATGATGTTCGTTTCCAAATTTAATTAGCAACTTTTTCGCTTTATGCAATGCATACAATGGAAACAAATTCCTGGTACTTGTCTATAAATTTTTACATGCCTTTTGTATCAAAATTGTAACTGGTTCTTATCCTTTTCAGGAACTCCTAAAATCGATCAACCAAGTCCCCAAGGATCCGCAAGAAAGGCTAACGGAGAACAAATTTCCTTTAGATGCCGACGACGTGGAAATACGTAGGAAACCGGAATTCCGAACCAATCGCATTTCGAAGACGACGGATTTTGATGCAGGAAGAAGACGACAAACGATGTAAGTTGAAGAACTTGTTTTGTGATAAATAATTATGAAATTATGTCACCTTATTCATATGCCAGTATTAAGAAAAATTTAATTTTCCATCATTTGATAATTTACAACATATTTCAATCAGTGACATATTTAATACTAAAGAGGCATAGGTACTTTAACTTCTTCTATTGTCATTGAAAAACTTTTTATTATTTTTCAGCCCTGTAAACCCAAAGAACTTCGAAATAAGGGGAATACTCAAAATAGAATTCCTATCCAACATCAGCCTAATCAAATTAAAAGAAGAGTACATAGCTTATGAAAACGAAAATCTCTTCAGGGTAAACGATAAATCGAGAACCAAGGTAAGAATTCATCTATACATTGAATTTGAACACTTGAAGATATTTTTTTAGGAGCTCCTAGCTTCAAATATAATAATAAAGTCGGTCAGATACCCGAAGTCAAAAGAATCCAAAGAAGTAGAACTAAAAGACACCAAAGATGTTATCTATTTGTTACATTTCCAAGAGCTCAAATACGCCAAGCAATTTATGGAAAATGAAAAAGTACAAGTTTACATCACGGATAATAAAGTGACAATTAAAAAAACTTTACTTAGATTTTTGGGTAAGAATTATTACTCAAATGTAAAAGTTCCCTATTATTATTAACTATATGTATGTTTCTTTAGGTAAAAGATCAAGTCGCGAGATATTAGAAAAGAAAGGTATTTACAAAAACGAACCAATTTTCGGAAATACTTTACGAGATATTTACAACAAAAGCATAACAAATTCATTGGTTCCAACATTCATTATTGAGGTTATCAAGCTGCTAGAAAAACCAGAAAATATTAAAAGCTTAGGTAAAACCGTTATATCAAATTCCTTGCATTTAATTATTTATTCTACTCCTATAGGTGTGTATAGAACATCTGGCAATTTAGCAATCATTCAAAAAATCCGTTTCGAAGTCGATAATGGAAGACTCAGCATATTGGGACAATACGCCAAAGATCCAGATGTTTTAACAGGAAGCTTGAAACTATTTTTCAGAGAGCTAAAAGAGCCATTAATTCAGCGGGAAGTTTGCGATAAATTATTGGAATACATTAGCGCAAGTGAGTAATGATTATTTAATACACTATTGTTTAAAATAATAATCCTTCTTAATTTAGAAGATCCAAAGCAAATGTTATCCAAAGACCATCAAAAAATCAGATCCATTCTAGTCAAAAATTTGCACGAGGCCAATTTGGAAACGTTTGTAGTGATAATCAATCATTTATTGGAGGTGATCAAATACAAGGAAATCAATAAAATGGACGCCTACAATTTGGCAATTTGTTGGGGACCTTCTATGATTTTTTCAATACAAGGAGGTAAGTTGGTAAAAATTCTATCAAGAAAGATGTTTTCATTAAACTTTTCAGCTCCTATTAGCGCTATTTCTGATATATCCAAGGATATAGTGGCGCAAAGTCACGACGCCACCAGAATGGTGGATTTCTTTTTGAATTACTACCAGCTGTTTCCTGCTGAATTGTTGACGCTAGGGAAAAGATCAAGACCGGTAAGTCTTTTTGTCAATCAAGAGAATTTCAAATTAATGCCTATATATTTTAGGAAAGTATCTCAGAAAAAGTATATTTGCTGAAAAGACAAGAATCCAAGGACAGCGTAGGCAGTTCAGATAGTTCTAAAACTCAAAAAAAAAGTGAGTATAATCTTCGAACTGGCTGAGGTTCAATATTGCAATAAAATATCCTGGAAACAAATGTATTTGTAGCTATTCATGTTATATTCTAGATGCTCTCCTCACAAAGTAGTCAAAGTGACCCAGAAACGTTATTGTCTTCATAGTTTTCTAATTTCTTGTTCTGTTGTTTTATGTATTTGGTCTTTTTATTGAATATTCCTAAGGAATATCCCACTCTGTAGAATGTTTATGACTAGTCTCTGTATTTTCTGTTATCATATATTTTGATCTTTATAACTTATTTTTCTTCTTGACAACTACAGACTTTATCAATATCTTGACTTCCTCTGTACTCTTATTTCTTTGATGTTTTCTTGTCTACTGAATCTAGGAAATTGTTTTTATTTTTTTCAAGTTAGTAGTATCTCATCTTGATTGATATAAAGATACTCACTATTTTGGTAAACTTTTTCTTTATTCTTCAAACATTTCTCTCTTGCCTAGCTGTGGATTTTTTGAAAAATTAAAATTCCTATATGTGATTTTAGAAGTCAATAGTTATGTTTTCTATTTTTTTAGGTGCGAGTAGTCTAAGCCTAAGCGTGGACGACATAACGAAAAAACTGATTGAATCCATAGAGCCTCACCTGGACAACGAAGGCCTCTACAGAAAATTGGGCTCGGCTGATAAAACAAACAAAATAATGAAGAAACTGACCAAAAAGAAGATAAATGAACTCGAGAAATACAAGAATGACGTTTACGAGTTGGCAGAAGCTCTGAAGAAATATTTAAAGGAACAAGACTGTTTGGTTTATGAAGATACTGTCGAGTTGGTTTTGAGAGTTGCACCCGGTAAGAAAAATTAACTGATCTGCAAACTGTCTAGTATTGATGATTTGTTTCAAATGGTGCATCAATTTGTTTACTAATAATCACTAGTCCATCTTTATTCTTTCAGATAGTTCCCAGAGTTGTCTGGAACCAACAACAAGACAAAAAGTAATATCGCTGATAGAAGACACTCCAAAAAAAGACACTCTGATCTTCCTTTTGCAACATTTGGCGAAAACATTGGAAATTCAAGAAAATAAATACCAAGTGCCTAGATATGAGCTTGTAGGAATCTGGGCAAATGTCCTAAATAATCCCAAGAAAACCAAACGGTCCAATGAAGATTTTGCCAGGTTTTTGGATGTGGCTATCAAGGTTTTCAATGATAATTTACCGGATATCGTGCGATCGAGTGTCAACAACAATGGATGTAGTCCTGTTAGAAATAGAAGTATGGATGAGGTAAGTAAACAGTGTCTTTTTTTTTTCATTACATGGAAGTTAAATCTGTTAAAAACTTATTGTCTGAACTTTTACTATTATATTGCAGCTAATGAAAGAGATGAAACATCAACAAGCTGAAAGAGACAGGAACAGTAGATATGACAACGTCGACTCTGATGTGGGTGAAGCTTCAATACTGGAGGATAAGACTGAACAAACCAAGTTGTGACAAAATAATAGAGGAAATGAGAGTTTTTTTATTTATGTATTACTTGTTTAGATGTTATGACAAAATATTATATTTTATGTCTTGTAAATTTATATAAGTGATTTGGAAATGTTTATTTTCTAAAAATTGTTGTTAGTTATTAGGAAAATTTAAACCACACCAAAGGTTTCCAACAAAACTGAACAAAACTTGTTCTATTTGCTCTATACTCTATAAAAAAAAAACTTGTATTTTTTTGTATATAATTATTTGTTATATTATAGATTTGTTTAGAAGTGCCAATTAATATCTTAGATATATTAAGAGACAATTGGTTCTTTTAATGATAATTTTGCAAGCCAAAATTTTATGTTTTACACGATGTGATATCTATTTTAGGCTTAGAGTCTATAAGTGCCTATAGCTTGATAAAAAATAATAATTATTGTTAATCCATTACCTTTGCGTTTTACTTATTCAATATATCTCCCTTCTTTATACTATTTGGACTTTACAACTTGCCCATTAATCAAACAATATACAAACAAAACATGCATACATACATTAATTTCTTTTGTGTATAATATTTTGGATTTTCTGCCATTCCCTGTCCAAATGGGCCTTTTCGTTCTTGTCCTTGTGCTTCCTAGATCTGCAAAAAATAAATCAGCATAAAATTCAGGTTATTCAGCCGAGAAATTAACTTGCCTTCTTCCGTCAGCCATTTTGAGACCGTACTGAAACGCGGCCTTAGGCAAAGCTTCCTTTTGATTCATATAATCAGAATATTCCTCGGCAGTATCAAAGTCCCATCGCCCAATCGGTCCCTTTTTATTACCTAGGTCCATTTTAGAGTAGTCCACTTCATCGTCACTGTCATCGATAGCGTCGTTCATCTCTTCCAAACCAGGATAACATTCTGCGTATCCTTCAGGTTCTTGTTGCAATTTAGTGAGGATTTCAGCTGATTTGTTGACTCTGTAGGACGGAGCAGCATTGTCAACTGATTCCCTGTGGTCTTGCTTGTCGAAATATGAAGAATCGTGTTTGCTAGATCTAGCGTCTCCGTGATGGCGGTCCCTGTGTTTGTGGTTGCTACGCGATGGCACGTAATCTCCAATGTCTCCATAGATCGAATCCTCGTTATTTGTTGATCGTTTTGATGGTTTTTTGCCAATTTCTTCTTCGTAGTCTTTTGAATCTTCTAGGGAACGTTTGTGCTTGTTTTTTTTACGACTACCTAAAAATAATTTAAGTTTTCTATAACTTTGAGACTCCAAAATGCATCAATTAAAATATGAAATAGTTGTAGGTATTTATTACCTTGTCTCAAGTAACTCAAAATCTGCGTCAATTTGTTGATCACTATGTCATTGGTTGAAAGTGTAGTGGTCAATTCAAATGATGGCACATCGGCCACTGATCTCAACAAGGTTGTGGGGATGTCAGTTTCAGCATCCTCTTCTGCAAAATTAAATAGAAAAATACCAATATGTATTAATATTTAGACTTGGAGACATGTAGGAATTATAGGAGTAGGTACACAATAAGGAAAATAAAAACATAAATTTCATATCAACATATTGTCAAACTGAGGTTAATTATTTTTTCTGAAATTGTATAAGAAAAATGAAAGGTAAATTCAATGATCAAAACGTCATCATATTCAAAAAAAGTGAGGACTTTTCGTTATTTTCTTTCTCTTATAATAAGACTGTTGCTGTTAAGATTATTAAAAAATGTTTTACCCAAGTCAATCACATAAGCCATCCTCCCAGGCACAAACATCTCAGATCTTTCAATGTGTCTTGATCTTATGTTTTGTACAGTGAAAAATATGGATCGCCCAATTTTTGTTGTAAATTTAATGTCCTCCTCTTCTTTCTTCAATAGATCCTTTCTCTCTTTTTCCTTCTTTTTTTCTTCGGACTCTATAGCAAGCTTCTCCAATTCCTACAAAAATACAGAAATCTAGAAGTAGGAAAAGTTTGTATTGCTGAGGACAGAGTTCTACTTTTTAATCGACTATCATCCAAGACTGTTGAAAATTGGTTGAATTCTCATAAACTATGATTCAACTTATGAAAACTATATATAGTGTGTCCGAAATTTGAGTCTCTACATGGGGTTTACGCTTATTATGAGAGATACAGGGTGGCTCAAATTAGGAAAGTTTTAGGGAATTTATTGCTCATTTATATCCTGTTGTTAAATTTGCTTCAAAGTTTTCTATTTCCTAGAAATCCGAGAAAAACTGAAAATAGCCAATTTTGTTTTTTGTCAATAATTCATGAACCGTTAACTTTAGATTTTTCTAACTTTAACATTATTTAGACACGTTTTTGAGACGTATATTTTCGTGATTTGAAAACATTCCGATCGTCGTTTGATTTCGAGTTATTAACCAAAACTTTCTTCTTTCTTATGGCGGCCATCTTCGATTTCAACAAAATAATATTCTGCGAAAAAAATCCTTTAAAATGATGTATTACAAGCTATGAAAACGTTTTGCAAGTCCTTCAAAGTTACAGTTGGAACCGATATTTTGCTAAACTTGGCAACAATGCTCATAGTTATAAGAATAAAAGCAAGTAAGTATGATTTAATACCTAGAACCGGTATTTTTGAAGTCTTCTGGCAATTTTACTGGATAAAGAAAAAATAAGTATGGTATTCCACATGTTTTTTTTTTTGTAATGTAAACAACATGAATTACAGCTTTTCCTCCTTTCTTCTTTCGGTTTTACGCCTCGGGAAAAATTATACCAACGTGGACTGACAGGACTATCAGTCCACGTCACAGATAAAGAAGCCAAAAAAGCGACCCATCGTAATATTATTGTCTTGATAAAATAAAACTCGAATTAAAGAATATTTTATTAAAATAATAATACAAGGTCGAATAGACTCTCAAAGACCGAAAATCTGATAGTGCAAATTCGTCCTTCACGCAAAAATCCAAATTGGTATAATTTTTCCCGAGGCGTAAAACCGAAAGAAGAAAGGAGGAAAAGCTGTAATTCATGTTGTTTACATTACAAAAAAAAAACATGTGGAATACCTTACCTACTTATTTTTTCTTTATCCAGTAAAATTGCCAGAAGACTTCAAAAATACCGATTCTAGGTATTAAATCATACTTATTTAGTTTTATTTTCATAACTATGAGCATTGTTGCCAAATTTAGCAAAATATCGGTTCCAAGTGTAATTTTAAAGGACTTGCAAAACGTTTTCATAGCTACATCATTTTAAAGGATTTTTTTCGCAGAATATTATTTTGTTGAAATCAAACATGGCCGCCATAAGAAATAAGAAAGTTTTGGTTAATAACTCAAAAACAAACGACGATCGGAATGTTTTCAAATCACGAAAATATCCATCTCAAAAAAGTGTCTCAATAATGTTAAAGTTAGAAAAGTCCAAAGTTAACGGTTTATGAATTATTGACAAAAAACAAAATTGGCTATTTTCAGTTTTTCTCGGATTTCTAAGAAACAGAAAACTTTGATATAAATATATATAAATGAGCAATAAATTCCCCAAAACTTTCCTAATTTGAGCCACCCTGTATCTCTCATAATAAGCGAAATCCCCATGTAGAGACTCGAATTACGGACACATTGTATACTATACTATTTCAACTATTATTACTGTTTAATCTAAGAAACCTATATTCATGAATCTTAGATTTTTAAGTTCCACACTTATCCCAATTCATTTATTACCTGTTCCTGCTCAAATTCCTTGTGTTGAATCTCGCTTCTAACTTTTTGAAGCAGAGCATAATCAAGACCTTTTACCAAGTGAGTGTGCTCCATGTCACCACCCAAGAACTTGGATTCTTGAATCATTTGTCTTCTTCTTTCTGCTGCATCAAATCCTATAGAAAGAAAATTATATAATTACTGTTTTATTGTTTTTCTATATGGTGTTTGTAAAGAATTGAATAAAATAAATAAATATGTATTAGCAAATCACCACAATTATGATTTCTGTGGGGGGAGGCTAAATGTCACAAGCTGAATTGTTATTGTATTGAAAACAAATATTTTGGATATTCTAAAACTATGGTAGTGCAAAATTAGCCTATGCAGAAGAAACGAGATATTGGCATCATTGAATAGAACGTAAAGAGTACAAAATGATGTTATTAGCCTATTTTAGCGACAGAGAGAAGGCCTGTTAAATTTGTATCTTGTTTGTTTTTAAAACTGTTTTTGATAGTGCACTGATAGTTTCCGTACTCAGTGAGTTCCATTTGTATACCACTCTATTACTTAAAAAGTTTTTCCTTCTGAGAAGAGCAGATTTGTCCTTTTTCAGCTTTTTATGATGAACCCTTAGATTGTTTTGATTGTTAAAAAACATTTTTTTCATTCTGAGCACTGGAACTGGAGAATTTTATAGGTTTCAATAAGGTCCCCTCTTACTCTTTTTTCCTTCAATGTTGTGAGGTTAAATTTCTGTAGGCTCGATTCGTATGGTACGTTGCGAAGTTCCGATGGTTATTCTGCATTGGACGTGTGCCAGAAGTTCAATGTCCCTAATATGGTAGGAGCTCCAAACAGTGTAGCCATATTCCAGTCATGGTCTGATGTTAGGTACAGCTTTTTAATCATTTTAATGGACTTGTTTTCGAATGCTTGTCTCATTAGGTAAATGAGCTGATTGACTTTAACAATTTTGGATACATGTGTTTCCCATTTGAGATCATTTGTGATGTAAGTACCAAGGTTTTTGTGTTCTGATACTTCCCTTACCTCAACATTGTTTATTAGGTAGTGTTTTTTTTTTGTTATTTGGACCAATATGTAGAACTGTACACTTATTTCATTTAGTTTTAGCTGCCAGGTGTTTGTCCACGTTTGTATGGTGTTTATCTCATTTTTTTTAGATGTTGGACTTGCATTAGTGGGTTGCAGTAAAGTTTTTTGTCGTCTGTGAATGATCGACGTTTGTTTCCAAAAGGGGAGTTAAATCTGAGATGTAGATTATAAAGAACAGTGATGAAAACACAGAACCTTGAGCAACTCCGCTGATGATGGTCAGAGTATGTTCCGTTTGCTCTTACATGGCATTCTCTATGCTTGAGAAAGGAGTTGCTCCACCGTAAATAGTTCCCTCTTATTCCGAAGTGATTCAGCTTGTAATCGAGTCGTTTCTGTGGAACTGTCGCAAAGGCTTTTTGGAAATCAAAGTAAATTACATCCACCGGTTTTCTCTATACCATTTGTCAACGCAGGAGATCAGATTTATCGTGGTCGATTTTTTTGGTGAAAAGTCGTGCTGTGATGCTGGAATTATGTTGTTTTCTAGGACGAATGCTGTAGTTTTCTTGGCTAGAATTTTTCTCATCACTTTGCATAAGGAGCATGGCCGGGTCGTATTTATCACCAACCTTGTAAACTGGGATGATAAATTGCTTGCTTCCAGATGTCAAATAGGGTACCCTCGTTGATTGAGTCTTGGAAGAGCTTGGCTAGCAGTGGCAATAACATGTTGGCAGATTTTTCCAAGAATACTGCCGGTATTCCGCCAGGTCCTGGCTGGAGTAGGTTTTCAGGTCCTGGAGAGCTGCATTAACCTTTTCTGTAGGGAAGTTGATTAGAGCTAGTTCATTTGGGTTTTTGGTTTCAACTGGGAGGCAAGGAAAACTATTTGGATTTTCTCTGGTGAAGACAGAGTGAAATTGTTCAGCAAATATGTTTGCTATTTCTTTGGGATCTTGTAGGACTTGCTGGTTTACTGTGTTTTTGATAATCAGGTCATGCAGATGGCTGATTAGATTATTTCTGATATAGGAAAAGAAGTGTTTGTCGCCTTTTTCAAGGAGGTTTTCTTCGTAATGTTTTCTTGATTGTGATATTAAGTTCTTGAGATTGTTATTTTGTATCCTGTACAGGCAATAGTTCTCATCTGTTTTCTGTTTTATATATTTGTTCCATAGATTTCTCTTTTTGTCAAGTTCAAATGGCGTCCTGAAAAGACTGATAGTCTCTTACTGTTGGTTGCATGTTTGACATGCGGCTTACTCTGGAATGATATGTGCAATATCTATCAATACACAAGTGTATGTCACTGGTGATCCTGAGAATCCCACCACCACTGTGAATTTGCTTAATAAGACTTTGCAAAGAATTTACGAATGGTCAAAGAATCATGGACTCTACCTCAGTCAACCCCGAGGTCAACCCTAATAAAACTATGACTTGGTGTATGGGAAGTAAAAGTGCTAAATATTCATGGGACGATTAGGTTAAATAACAAAGATATTCCAATGACTAAGCAGATAGAAAATCTTGATGTTTTGTTAGACCCTTTTCTAAATTTTGAGGCTCATGTTAATAAAAAAATAGGATAATCTTACTCAAAATTAGTCACTGCATTACATTTACGTAATGTCTCCCATCTAATATCAAATGGCAACTGGTGAATTCATTGGTGTTGTGTCATTTGGATTACTATTATTTGTCTGTTTACTATAGTTTTTAGTCTTGTGAATATATTACCAAGATTCAACGGCTACGAAATTCCTGTTTTAGATTTAGCTTTGGTACACCATATCGTGACTCTAGGATATTAAAAATAGAATATAGGTTTGCACTATTTTTCTATAAACACTTGTTTAAGATTCTTCATAGTAAGGCTCCTCAGTACTTGCAGGGTTGGCATAGAATTTCCCCAGGATATAATACCCAGTGGGGTTTATCGGGTTTTTTCAATTGATAAAACCCACCATTATTGGGTTTTTTCAAAAATATTAAATTTTCAGTTGAATAAGCGTCATTTTCACAGGAAATATTAGGGATTTCCCGATGATTTTCCAGTCCCCGGCTGTTCGCTGTTGGTGTGTAGGTGTGTGGTAGTGAGCAGGGAATGCAGGGACTCCATGCCATGTAGAATTTAGAATCCGACATATCGAATGTGCCAAGTCTATAGAATCCTGTCGATATGAAGAATTGTACATGATATGGAGTCTATGGGGTGGCCAGCCAGAGGCGTGGTGCAGTGTACTGATGCCAAGTGTAATTATTTATGTCAAGTGACTTGTTTTATATGGTAGGGATATTTTATTTTTGCAACAAAAGTCATAATTTTTGTAATACTTTTGCTAGAGCAAAAACCGAGACAGAAACTATAAATCAAATTTGTAGAAAAGAACGAAAACCCCCAGGAAGCCTGAAAAAACCCAAAAAACCCATAAAAGCCCAAAAAAAACCCGACGGGTTGGACTTTTTCAAAAAAACCCGGGTTTTTTCCAACCCTGAGTACTTGTCTGATATAGTGATTAGAAGAAATGAGCTACACACTGCAAATCTGAGAAACGTTAATAATTATGACATTCCCCAGCAAGTTGATAAATAAGTACATTTTTGGAGTTTATATTTCAACATCTTTGTTAAGGTTTAGCACGTTTTTTAGAGATTCAGCATCTCGGTTGCTCGGTGTACTGATACTTTGACAGTAGCCTGTTGAAAAAATTGTTTATCATGTGGTTTGTCTTGTCTGTGGTTTTAGAATCTCCTAAATATTAGTTTTTAATACATTAACAATTAAGCTTGTGACATTTTGCCCCCCCTATAATTCATTTGAAGAGCAATTTTATCACCAATAGCACCCTACTACTTATTAAATCAAATTTAAAAATCTTAATACTTTAATTTTAATTAAGACTGAAGAAAAAAAAGCTATGGGAGCTATTAAAAACTGTGGAAGTGATTAAATACCAGATTTCAAATCAGGAGCAACAGCTCTATAGGCCTGGGCTGTAGCAACAGGATCATCCGCCGAGTAATCAGGGTTTACACCCTTTCTCCTTTCTCCAGCTCTATCACGATACTTCTCAGCAAGCTCAGCTATTTTGGTATCCTCCTATAAAGCAACTCGTTATAAAATTAAAACACATTTTCTCAAAAACAAAATTACCTGCTTCTTAAGTTTAGCATAAAAACTCTTTCGTTTTTTCCGAGCTTCAAGTTTGTCCTCAATCTTGGGGGGCGGCATACTGGAACTGTTTTGCATGGCATCTTTAACCGACCCAGGGGCTGCTGGGGCATTGGCTGGGGTCGAACGGGGCGTCATAAGCAACTTACGGAAGTCATCGTTGGATAGGCGTTGGGAGCCCGGAGTCTGCTCCGTGTTTGTTTGGGGCATTGTGAACTCACACTAATCGCTAGTTGGTATGTAAATGTTCCTTTTTTTTATTTTTGAATTAGATGAACAAGAACTGTATATTAAAGCTTCCGATTTCCACACAGTGACGGTATTTATTTACCTTATTGAAAACTGGAGCTGGATAAAGAATTCTACAATAAACTATCCTATCAAATAAAAATTAATTAAAAGTTCAATGCAATATTTATTTATTTTGACAATCATATGACAGATCATTGTATAAGGGTAGCAAACGCCATCTAAAAATGACAAGAAATGAAAAAAAAAAAGAAGAGCGTGTTTTCCTTTTAACTTTTTTGAGGTTATGTTATATGTATAAAAATTTCAAAATTTTCCATATATTTTTAAAAAAACTGAAAAATGGCAAAATATATAGCCCAAATAATAATAGCCGGTTCGCAAGTGATCGGAAGAGCATTCGCGAGAGCCTTAAAGCAAGAAATAGAGGCGTCACAACAAGCGGCCCAAAGATTGGGCAATCAGAACAATGCCAAAACCCGAAGCGAAAGAGTGGCAAATCAAAAATTAGGGCTTACTTTAGACGAGGCGAAACAAATTTTAAATATATCCAAATTGTCGAAAGAAGAGATTGAAGAAAGGTAACAATATTACTACAGAAATGCAATGAAACAAGAAAACTTTAGTCTCAATACTTTCGTCTAATCTTATATTATTCCTTTACTCTAGGTATAACAGTCTCTTTAAAGCGAACGAAAAGGCCTCTCTATATCTCCAGTCAAAAATTGTAAGAGCAAAAGAACGACTAGACCACGAACTCAAAAATTCAGATAGTAAAGAACAAACTACGAAAGAAGGTAGCAATACGTAGTATTTAAACAAATTAGGAACAATTTTAGTAGCATTTGTGATGTATATTTTCCATTTTCCTCTTTTTTTTCTTGAAGACACTACCTAATATATTGCTAAGTAGATAAGTTGAATTTTACTTGTTACAAAAAAACATATTAAAGTATAAGTAAAACAATGAAATATGAAAGCCATATTTATTGCAATAAATATCGATATGAAAAGTTGCTCTCTTCGTTTGCTTTTCTAATACAGAATAAGTATTTTGTACCTTGTACCCACATGTGTTCCCTTACAAAGGCACAAATTATATTATTCAAATTATTGTCCTTCAGGTCTTATATTAGACAAATATAAAATTATTTTCAAAACAACTTGGTTTTTCCATATAATTTCAAACACTGTGTTTCATATTTGCTTAACACTTGCCTTTGCTCAATATTCAATTCGGGAATTTTGTGGCTTGGTTGATTTTTAGTTTTTTGGCACCAAAGATAAGTTTTGCCTTAAAATAAATTCCAATTGATTTAAGGAGATAGTTGTTTATATTTTAGATATACCATCAAGTATACCAGCTTCCAGATTTTTCATAGGTTTTTTAATATTAATCACTTCATTAGCTGAACTATCTGAATTTGAACTAAAACCCTGAAATGATTGTTTTCTTAGATTGGGTTCGATTTCCCTTGATATACCCATACCTTACCAAGACTATTGAGACGAGTTAAAAACATCCTTTGCAAAAAAATGGCCATTCTTGAAAACTGAAAATTTTGGTCATAAAATATAATACTTTGAAATACTTGTCATCAAACATGTCAAGGTCAAGTCCACTATGATTTTTTCAAATTGTTCACATGTTCTTATATTTTACTTAGTAAAATTTTATTTTGACTAAAGAAAATAGTGCTATTTAAGCCTAATAAATATACAAAATATTCTTAACTAAACGCGACAACTTAATTAAAATTTTTTTTTTACTGTCTTATTATTGAAGTATTTTCTTGTACTTCAGGACCCTTATGGGTACCATCACAGAAAGGTCTATTTGCAGTATGTTTACAGTTACACAACCAATAGTCCTTGGTTTCTTCTACTACAAATCTAATAGGTCTGAAAATGGAAAATAAATACATTTAAATGTGCCACTGACAAATTTTTAATGTAGGTACACATACTTTTGCTTAATTCTCAATTCCTGCGTTCTGTGTGTTCCATCGCAGAAAGGTTGTTTATGACTCCTTCCACATAGACACCAAGAGTATTTTTTGCCTGTAAAAATATAAAAGAATGTAGCTGGCATAGAGAGAAATAAGATACAAATTAGGTAACAAGTGTCTATATGGAAAAAAATAATTACAAAATAATGAGTTGGTGTATTTTTACCTGCTTCTAATCTCATTCTGATGGGTTTCTTATCATAAATCACACCATTTTCTTGTTGTGTTTGGGCAGATATAAGATTTTCTAGTTTATTTTTGGGTATCTCTGGCGTAGCTTTATTACTAAATGCCTGAAATGAACAAACATATCAATAATATACACAATATTCAGTTTCAAAAAAGTTTATTTTGCCAAATTCTTACCTTAGTTGAACTCAACAAATAAATTCTATTTTTATGTATAGCTGCAGTGAGTTTTAAAGCCATTGTATGTACTTATTATACAATTAATTATACACTTTTATCAAATTATCAAATATTCCAAAATCCAAAAAAAAAGAAAATTAAAATAGGGTTATGTTGTTTGTGTTAATTTTCTACTTCTTTTTTTTCGCAACATTCACTACTGTTCGACGTTCTTTTTTTTTACTCTTATTGTTCCGAACTAATCCGAACCGTTCTTCTATTCAGTTCCGAGGAAGTCTGCTGCCGGATTCTATTTACGAGACGAACCGAATTGTCCGTTATCACACTCGATATCGAATACAACAACTCCGGACGTATTGTGCAATATGTATCGAATAAAAGCATCCCTATTTTAAAGTTCGATACGTTCTAGAGTCCCAGCCCGACATCTGTTTTCTCAACACTAGTGAGTGCAGTTTTACAAACTTGGTCATTTAATCTAGCATCAAGGTTTCTAAAGTTGATAGGTTGCTTGGTAGTGGGAAAAAGATGACGTCATCTGAGGTGCCTTATGGAGATAAGGCCTGTGTGAGACAAATCCCCCTTCTCCCCCCCACCAAACACATTCGTGACACAAGCGACGCAACCCATGCAGGGCAGCACAAACGACACAGTGCACAAAATTCGTGGGCTGGGCCGACTAACGCAAATTGCATTGATCTCTCCGAGCTTGAATTTACCATTCGTTTATGTTTATTCAAAAAGTGTACTCGGTGCAGGCTCATTCGCGTTCGTTTATTGAGCAAAATACCGACCGCAAAATGTGTATCGAACACTGAGCGACGCATGTTTTGCTTGACGCATTCGTGGCTTTGCCTGTGCTGCGTCACAAAATGCGGATGTGCAGTGCTCGCTACATGATACAAAAACGTGGCGTGTGCTGCTTCTCATGTGTCTCTATGTGCGCCTTGCCTTAAAGTAGAATGCATTCTAGTCACACAACAGTTGCATGGTGCACCAGAGTGTGAAGGTAAGGGTGTGGAACACCTTAAAATTCGTCACTGGAAATCGGCTCTAGTCTTAACTGTTTGAGTTGAAGTGTGGTGAGGGTTGATGAGGGTGTCCTTTTTATTAACATTTTCAGCTTTACTGCTCACAGAGTGCTCTGAGAGCAATTATAATCCAGACATGGGCACACCATTCGCAATCAATAGTCGAACGTACTTCTGATTCTGATTTTTGAACGGGTCTTGGATAGATACATTAGCTGGGTTTGGCTATTCAGCGCGGAGTTGGAGTGGAGTAACCAGAGCTAATGGAGTCACCCCTAATACGGTTAAAAGCAATACCCGAACCTTAACCCGAACGGCTGGAGTGCGAATGGAGTCAGTCGGAGTGCAAGCCGAACCCACCTATTGGATAGATCAGACCAGACTCGATCCATTGAGGCGACGTTCTGTAAGTTAACTAATATTTTTGGGTTTTCCGGCTCCTGTTCAGTAACCTAACCACTTCCGAAATCTGATTATGTTATGAAACACGCTTTCTGCGCGATCAAGAAGCTTTGGTTGTCTCAGTATGGAACAAGAGATAAATATTACATTCCTTCATGTCGACCAAAGCGTTCCACATATAAACCGTATTTTCAGGAACCAGACTCTCACCATAGACATAGACGAACCGCTTCATACCGATCGGTAACTCTGGTTAAGATAGGTTACGCCGCCTGAATTTGACGGAGCAAGAAAGAGCGCTCCGTGTGAGATATTAGTTGTATTCCTTTCAAGAGTTTGAAGCACTCGAGCTACTCGCTTCGATGTTTAGTCGCCCCCGATTTGCAGGGAACAAATGCGTGGTGCAACAAACACTTTTCGAAAGGAATAAGCGCGAGAAGCCCCGGAGCTGTTCCGGAGCTCCTCATAGGTGTGAAAGGAATACAACTATTGCTCAAGTCGAACACCTAAATCTCACCGAGAGCAACGCTCCGTTTTAAACAGAACATGTGACTCCGTTTTGGAACATTTTTGATCAATCGGGTGCAGTTTTGAGGATAAAGTCGAAGCGCTATAAAATAGGCAAGTTCTATATGTGGCAAGTTCAGATCAAAACTTCCGGTATGACCAGAGCCGCTTTCCAGTATGGGAGTGTGATGGTCGGAGCCACTCGGAGCGTTGAGCTCCTTGGGCTGTGATCACAAGTAGAATTCTACTTTCATGACGTCACCCGCGAACTATTTATCGCCTACAGTACAGGCCATCTTGACGGTTGCTAGGCAACCTGACGTCATGAAAGTAGAATACTAGTAGAATTCTACTCGTCGTGATCCAAGCTGAGCTATACGTACGGACAAACGTCACACGTCATGATACTGGAACGGTACAAATCTAGTGCCTGGCGCTCCCTGGGTGCTCTAGAGCACGCCAAATAGCATACTGGATAGCAGCTAAAGTGCCGCATTTTAAAAATATTTTATTCGGATGCAGTCCATCGACATTGCCATGTTGCCGAATTTTCAAAATTTTCCAAAGTTTCCACTCGTTTTTATCCTAATCGGTGAATTAACCGATGAGTTAACTTGTAGTGAATCGCAATGGAAAATGACTGACCGACAAAGAATAAGTGGTTCCTAAATTTAATTGGTTGCCTGGTAATGGGGAACTTGATGGCGCATCTGGGGATTTGCATTATGTTCAGGCAAGGCAACCTACCTCTCTCGAACAAGCTTGGGCTCCATCGGTGAAATTTGATGACAATACAAATGCAGGGTTTGTTTTTCAAAAAATCGATCACGGCAATTTAACGTGGCATGGACATCCTATATATAAAGTTAGGTTGACACGGTCCAAGTGTACTTGGATCAAGTATTCTTGGATGCAGTATCCGGATCCCGAACCCACAATTCGATAGTATCGTCTATGTAATTTATATGGACGATGCTATCGAATCGTGGGTTCGGGATCCAGGTCCTGCGCACGTCTCACTTTGATCGTATCAAGTGCTTATACAAGTACAGTTGGATAAAATCTAACCTTTCTAACAATAAGGCTGGCTACTAACTTACTTGGTTCAAGTTCTCATGCAAGTGTACTTGAATCAAGTACCCTTGGCTGCGCGCGCCTCACTTGGACGATGTGTACTTGGACTTGGATCGTATCAACGGATATAATCCAAGCGAAGTCCAGTAGTTGAATAGTTCCTAAAGGCCGTTTTACAGCTTGCAATTCTATCTGCAATATGCAAGAAACTTGAACGAGGGCATGCGCAGAAGTGAGTCAGCTGATTGGTTTCTGCAAGATTCTTGAAACTTGAATGGCATTGCATGCAATCGGTTTGGTGCCATTTTTCTTGAAGGTTTTCGTGCAAGCTTGCGAATTTTTAGCAATTATGATGCTTAAAGTTGCTGCTATTGCTTTCTTCTTTTTATATCGACTTATAATCACTTTTTTTATTTTTGGAAAATGCAGATATCAACTAGACAACATTAAAAACAAAAAAGTATGGTTAAGGATAGACAAGGAAACAAGTCAAATTGCACGATGTGCAAGAAATCTTGAATGCAATTTTTTTGCATGCAACAAATTGCATTCAAGCTTTCTTGCAAGCTGTAAAACGGCCTTAACATCCAAGTAAGTAGGCTGGCTGTCAACTTACTTCGTCCAAGTTCTCATCCAAGTACTTGGATCGTGTCAATCTGGCAATAATCCAAGACAAGTTAATAGGTTCTAACATCCAAATAAGTAGGCTGACTGTCAACTTACTAACTTGGTCCAAGTTGCCATCCAAATGCACTTGGACTACCTCAATGACTTGGACCAAGCAATCTACATCACGTTTGTTAATTGAATTCTCTAACATCAGGGTTATTAACGGCAACCTATACTGAGTGCACCAACATCTTGAGCAGAAAAATCCACATATTATGCTGGTCTTAACGGAGACGCAAGTAAAATCTTCACTCAATCCGTTTTTTGTGTCCCGGCTATGAACTTCATACGCAATATCGCTTCAAGAAGGGACTATGCGTCTTTTCTCATAGTCCTATTGGTCCAATATTTTTGCGCCAAAATATTGGACCAATAGGAATACTTCCGGATCATCGGATTAACGGAAAAATGAAAAATAAGCTTAACGTGTTCAAAAGGAGGGTTAATCAAGATTCAATTTCTTCCGCTCATAGTGTATACGGCGCATCTTCTAAAACTGTCAGAGAATGACATTTTATGTTAGCAACACTTGTAAAAAACCAGTAAAAAACTGTCAAAATTCAAATATACAAAATGTCTGGCCGTTCGATCGTACAAGTTTTCGAAACCTACCAAAAATCCCGACTATCGTTCGCCCAAACGGTAAGCGATTTAGCTTCGAGGCCGCAGAATGTAGAAGCAATGAAGAGCGCTGATGTTTTAGGTAGGTAAGCCGCTTATTTGAATCTAACATCACATGTAGCCTAATATTTTGTAGAATTGCTTAAGCCATTAATAACAGACGTTTGTCCTCAAATAAGGCAATGCGCTTCGATGGCACTCGGAAGATTGGTTCATAACGATCCTCAAATGGCCGCCGAATTAGTTACATCCGGAGTTTTGAATATTTTACTTCAAAATGCAAGCGCAGGGAACGTAGGTCATACAAATTTGTTACTTGCAAATCGATTTAATCAAAAGTGATTTTAGAAATATCAAAAAACCGCTGTCTTATTCGTAATACGGTCCATTTGCAAACATAATGCAACAATGGCGGAAATTGTTGCCAAAAATGGACTGCCTACTTTAGTTTTCTGCCTTGAAGACTTTGAGCCAACGGTAAACATTGTACTAATTTTGTCCAGGTAGTCTCAGCATACCATTTCAGGTAAAAGAATCAGCTGCATGGGGCATCGGTTACATAGCGCGACACGACAAGAAACTAGCCCAGGATTGCGTTAACGTTGGAGTTCTTCCACTTTTGATGCTCTGTTTGCAAGAACCCGAACTCAGTCTCAAACAAATCGCTACCAGCGCCATTACAGACATATCTAAACACGGCGAAGATTTAGCAATGTGCGCTGTGGACGCTGGAGTTGTTCCGTATTTAGCGAAAAACTTACACAATAGCGACGAGAAATTAAAGAAACAATCTTTGGCAGCATTAAGTAAGTTGGATTGATGCACTCTATATACTGGAAAAGCTTCATTATGCTAGAAAACTAAGGTATTGAATCTGAATAGCATAAAAAATCATTATTTTTCATAGGCGCAATTGCTAAACACTCCCCAGAACTAGCAGAAGTTGTTGTCGAAGCTGAAGTCATTGTTACTGTTTCGCAACATCTCTCCCATCAAAATCCGACTATACGAAGAAACGCTGCTGGTTTAATCAGAGACGTGGCCAAACAGTCTTTGGAACTTACTCAGTTGGTTGTTAATACAGGAGCCATTGGTAAGCTGGTTTTACCTATGCTGAATTTTTTTTGAAGATAGACACGACTGCATGCGAGGTGTTCCGTGATAGGTGAAACTGAAAATATTGTCGAATTGAGTGAAAATTTGCAGTAGCGAGAGTATACCCTCTTTGAGTCTTCGCATGCGCAGTAGACATTCGCTCTGACCTTGAGATGCTCCCGCGCACACAACCTTGAAGGTGACGTCATTTGGTATCACTGAATAATTCAACTCTTTAAGAATACTCCTGATAACAATATGTGTGTAAAATAGACGTTTGTCATTCTAATTCTTACGCAAAGAGTAGCGATTTTTTTGATGACCGTTTTCAATTAGAAAATTTTGATACTTCTGATGACAACATCAAGCCAACAATCTGATCATTCTCTCTCGACACATGAATCTTCAATAACAAAAGGAAGAGAAAGTTTTCTTTTTTACTTGAGCGATTACGAAGTAGGTACCTACACTTTAAATCAGATTCTGTCTCTGATGGCGGTTATATTCAGAAGAAGAACAGTATGCAAGAAAATTACAAAAGAGGTATTTTTACAGAAGTTTTGATGGCAGAAGTTTGAAGAAGATTTGAAGAATCTCTCAGTGAAAGTTTTGGAGTTAACGGGGCACTATACCAAGGAAACGAACGAAACTTGCAACTATTCCTCTTCTCTTAGATATTTCCAACCAATCTTTTCTCCTGAGATGGAATTGTATGTTTATCAGTACTGCAAAGATTTAGCTAATAATATATTTTGTTATGGTGTTGGAGTTTAACAATAATAATCTAATTATAACTTCACCTAACTTACTATTGCAGGATCTTTACTGGAAGTGTTATTACAGTTTCCGGCAAAACCACCCGAACCATCGAACGACGCTCGGATTCCTTGCGTCAGTGCCTTGGGATTTATTGCTGGTAAATGAGTGAAAATTAAAATATTACCTAAAAGTAATAAACTACAAAATTATTTCAAAGGTCAATCTTCTCAGCTAGCGATGACAGTCTTAGGTTGCCGAATCATACAAGTTTTGGCTCGAATTTTAAACGAATGCACCGACGAAAACTTGTTATCGGTTACTGCTTGGACCATAGGCCAAATCGGTCGTCATAGTCCAGAACATGCGGCTGCGGTCGCTAGTGCAAATATTTTTCCAAGGTAAGAAACCAGCCACACTCTTCAAACAGTCACAGTTGGGTTCTATTTGAGATAATCAGGCACTAATAAATCACCGTAAAAGTGGTTATATTACTTTGTCACTAAAATTTTCGTTAAAAAATCTACAGACTGGATCAATCTAGTACCTACTAGACACATAGGGAATAATCAGACGAAAATGCACGAATTTTAATAGCATGCAGTGACATTGGTAATATGGTTATCAGTCAACTGGTCCCATTGAAACATATGTGTCTAGTAGCCTGATTCTCTCTGTATAATAAGCATCAAATGAATACGTTTAGGGACAAATCTAGAGTTTGACTTTGGTGTGTCAGGATTTATATGGTACAAATATATTTCGGGCCAAATACCAAAACATTTAAAACAAGAACAGATCTTAGTGACAGCCTAATGGTAGACTTGAATGCAAAAAGCTACTTATTTTAGATTATTGTACCTCTATGAAAGTGAAAAGTCCTCGGTCGATCTGAAAACAAAATGTCATACCGCTCTCAAACAGTGCCTGCAAAATTGCCTGCTCATGACGGCCCTGGAACCTCTTCTCTCCGTCGCATCGCCGGAAATATTGAAGTACGTATTGGGACAATATAGTAAGGTAAGTATAATCAAATTTTCTTAGCTGATATCGAAATAAAAATCGTAGTTTAACCTCGATAAATATCAAATGAGTATGCGACACAGTTTCACATGTTATAAAAAGGTCACAAAGTAGGTACTTACTTCAACCTTCTGGAAAAAAGTTAGCTAAAATATGGCCACATTTTGACAATACCTAATAAAAATTAGTTGGATTATAGCTTTGTGTCTGTGTGGGAGAACATATGAGAAATTTTCTTCTATAGCCATAGAAAAAGTACTACATTTCAAAGCATAACCATGAATGAAGTTTATCACCCTCTCTTTGAATACACGCAGACTTGCATAAATCCGATCATCACACAGAGTCTGGCCCATTATTCATCAAAATTACTCTGCTCGTCTCACATTCCTCATTTCAGTGGTCCGCAAATTTACAATGCATTGCTCTAGCTATGTAAAGCAAGGCAATTTAGTTCAGAATTGCCTAGACTTAATACATGAATAATAGAAACAAATACGATTGCCTAGAATAGGATGGAATAAGGGCAATAAGAGAGATGAGAGGAATCGCTAAAGTGTTTTCACATTAATTGCAATTTGTTAATACAACAGCACTCAATATGGAATTTATTATTATACCCCAATGATTTTTGGTTTGTATTCTTACCTCATTAGGTACCTACCTACCCAACAAACAAAAACCTTCCATCGATAAATTCAGGTTTTTCGGATATAGGGCGCTCCTAATTAAAACATGAGCCTAAAACTCGTCCGAAAGCCCTCTAAAATAATAATTAATCGAAAACGAAAATTCGTTGTTCCATTAATCGTCGAGTGTCCGTTTATTATGATCTGGGAATCCGCGTTTCATAATTTCTAGAGCTCTTAATTAGCAAAATCTAATTAGTAAGCGAAATATGGGGCTCGTTGTTGCAAAACAGGAACCTCATCGATAAAATTATTGTTCGTCTCGTTGCACAGTTGATTGCTTTTGAAAATTTAATATCGTCGCCGAACGAAAATATATCTAGATGTTTTTCGTGAATAAAATTTTATTTCACTTTAGTGAATATGTACTGGAAAGTTCCGGAATTATTATGAGTGGTGCTTCAAAAGAAACTTTTAATCACCTCTAATTTGGTGGTCGTGTGAAAATTTTGAAAATCTTCTTAACAAGCACAAAGGCATTATTCACGCTTTCAGTTTTCAGCATATAAGTTTTATAATAATACGTATATAGAAGGCCCGAAGGTTTCATATATAGATAAGAATAATTTTTAGAAAGCTTCCTCTTGCTGCCGATTTTCTATTGAAGTTTCCCGATTGAACTGGAAACCGGTGACAAGTAGAGCAGTCAAAGTATACATATAGAGAATTTGTTAGGCACTTTATGGTACATTATTGAGGGAAAAGCTGACAAGCAACAATAAATCAAAATGTAATGTTTTTCGATGGAAATGTTGTTTTACGCTACTTTCAACTTTGAATAAAAAATGGAAATATTCGGAAAAGATCAAGCTACAATTTGGTGTAGAAAACTGCTCTCTATTTTCAGTGGTTTACTCCAGAGGGTGTCAGTGCAAACTACCTATATTGGGAAACGCCCTTCTGGACCTGTCTCAAACCCAGCTTCAGTCTTCAGTCACGCCAAGTGTAAATCAGAGTGTATATTTAATACAGTGGCCTAAGTAGTATGTCCCTCCGTAGAAGAGACATCATGGTATTATTCCTAGGGTAATATTATTCTATATATTCAATACATATCTAATTGTACCTATACCAAGCGTTTATCTCTACCTGAACCCCACCTACGCCCCACAGGTCACGCTCCTGTTGTGACGTCCCAGGACGAAACGTATAGGGGTTGTGACTAGGCTTGCCAACTGTCCTGCATTTCGCTGGACATCCACCATTTGGGGTTCATTGTCCAGCGTCCTGTAACAAACCTATTGCAGGACGCCCATTATACTTAATTTTTAACTTAATGAAGAACCCTGTCAAATTAGGCCGGCTGTAAACCTGGTTCTGGTTTATAAGGAAAATCATACATTACTTGAAAATGGAATTTATTATTTTTGACTAATACTGAGTTGAACAATTTCTGGATCATTTTGAAACTTGTATTTTCTATTGTGCATTGAACACATCAAGGCAGAACTGCAGATAAAGATTAATTATTCTCATACTTGCAAAGAATTTCATGATTTTGTAAGAGGTAACTAGGTCTGTTCTCACACAGTTTGCAAACTGTCAGTAAACATCGCACATACAGTAGAACTCCGGTTATCCGAATAACGTGGGGGGTACCCACCTCGGATAATTGAAAACTCGGATAATGTATGTATTGTTCGTCGATTTTTATCTGACACTTTCCGTATGAGGAGCGAGGGGATGAAGTATATGGCAAAAACAGGTGTGACGTCAGGTGACCATTAGCGTTCTAATGTATGGTGCCACTAGCTCACATTCATTTCGAGTATCAGATTAAAATCGACGGACTTTATGTACAGAGTGTTTTTTTATATGTTGACACCACACCGACAAACAGCCTTTACCTTAACAGGTAGGTACCTAGATGAAAGATGTAAATACAAAAGTTGTACAGTATTTGCTAAATTTTTAGAATCCATGGTCAGAAACAAAAATTGAATGTCAGAAATGTGAAATTTTGCATGTTTTCAGCTTTTTTCAAATGGATGCGCCATATTTGGTTCTATATTCTTGAAGAGTACAATTTCCTGATTTCAAAACTATATAGTTTGGCTTTATTTGGTTGAGCCGTCTCCAACATATTTGGTTCTAAGATTTTTAAAAATACTATCAGAGAAACCAAGTACCTCAAATTTTACCTATAGCTTTCACCTGTACAGGTTGAATGGTTCCCAAAATCGGTAGTAGGATAGTATTTTTACAATTTTTGGAACCGAATATATGAGAGATTGCTCAATCAAATATAGATCGGGGCATTGTGATCTTCAAGAATATAAAATGAAATATAGGGCATCCCATTTGAAAAAAGCTGGAAGCATTACAAATAAGTGGATTATTGCGTAACTTATGGGTGGACCTCTACGGGACGAGCGCAGCGAGTTCCGCAGCCATCTACTCATCAATATACTGTTGAACTGTTCAAGTAAAACATTCACCTGAAACGTGTAGTTTTTAAACTAATGAGAATAACTCACATTTGAGTGAATAAGGTTAGTATTGTAATTAAACAATATATTGATGAATGGATGGCTGCGGAACTCGCTACGCTCGTCCCGCAGAGGTCCACCCATAAGTTCCGCAACAGTCCACTCTTTTGTCCTTTTAAATAACTTGTCATATTATATTATTAGTTTGGTAAAGTAACATTACTTATTCCTGTTAAGGTAAATTGACAAAAAGTGAATAATCATAATCTTACAAATTTAGACTTTATATGAAAAATTATTGTTCAAGTACAAATAAGTGGATTGTTGCGGAATTTATGGGTGGAGCTCCTGCGGAACGAGCGCAGCGAGTTCCGCAGTTATCTAGTCACTAATATACTGTTGAACTGTTCAAGTAAGACATTCACCTGAAACGAATAGTTTTCAAACTAATGAGAATAACTCACATTTTAATGAGTCAGATTAGTATCGTAATTAAACAACATATTGATAAATAGATGGCTACGGAACTCGCTGCGCTCGTCCCGCAGAGGTCCACCCATAAGTTCCTTAAGAATCCACTCGTTTGTACTTGAATAACTTGTCACATTATATTGCTAGTTTGGTAAAGTATAACATTACTAATTCTTGTTAATAGGCAAATTGACAACATACGTATTTAGTTTTAAAATTTTTAAAAATATTGCAGAGAAACCAAGTACCTCAAATTTTACCTACAGCTTCCACCTGTACAGGTAGAATGGTTCACAAAATCAGTAGTAGGTACGATAGTATTTTTACAATTTTTGGACCCAAATATATGAGAGCTTGCTCAATCAAATATAGATCGGAGCATTGTGCTCTTCAAGAATATAGAATGAAATATAGGGCATCCCATTTGAAAAAAGCTGGAAGCATGCAAAATTTCACATTTCTGACATTCAAATTTTGTTTCTGACCATGGTTTCTAAAAATTCAGCCCTAACTGTACAGCTTTTGTATTTACACCTTTCTTCTACCTGTTAAGGTGAAGGCTGTAGGTGGGGTGTCAATATATAAAAAAACATCCTGTATATTCTAAAAACTCGGTTAATACGGAATATGGACGTGCGTACCTCGGGTAATCAGGATGATTCAATGGCGATAATACGTCAGATGTATTCGTAAAGAATGAAGCTACAATCTGTGAAAAATACATCGAAATCCAGTGGAGGGCTCAAGAAAAAATAAATTGTCATTGTTATAAGCTAGTGTCACCTACCTATTTGATTATGAAAATCGTCATAATATTTATCTATTTCGTCAAAAGATGTTCAACTTTTGTTTTGTTTCAAATCAGTTTTATTGTTAAATTATATTATTTATTATGTCAAGTTTAAGTAAATACGACGTAATTTAGCAATTTTGGTTTGCTAAACAAACTCCATTGCTTATTTCCTCATAAATAAATATTAAAACAAAACAGTTAAATTTTGACGAAAAGCAATTTTTTGTCGAAACAATAATAACGCATATTTAAATATTTATTTATTGTATATAGAATCGCGTGAAAAATTTAGAAAAATTACGTATTACGTTATATTACGCAATATCATTCCCTATAATATACACTTATTAGTTAAATTGCAAGGGATTGGTTACAAAAATTAAACAATCAGCCAATGTCATATGAATTCACATTGACATTGAAAAAAAAACTATTGTTAAATAATCAAATTGGAGATCCAGCATCTATCAGCAAACGAATCTCTGACGTAACTAATAAATTTTCGATATTAGAATCGCGGTTCAAAATCTTTTCAATTTCGTAGAGTTAAATATTGACCTTGTGACACTTCCCTTTAGTATAATATTTGTTGCCAACAATTTCAGGAGCAGGCAG